GACCCTCAAATAGGAGCTCCAGGTGCTCCTGAAGCAGCTTCCCCTTTTGCTTAAACTCAGCATTAAGACTGCGGAGTCAAACGTGAATCTAATGCTTACCATAATTTTGGCAAGGTAATTTAGCTAAGAAATGTGAGAATTAGAGTCAAGTAAATAGGGGTATGTATGTTTTAACAGTTGGAAGCTGCCAGATATAACAATAAGGCAGGATGTAATGATAATAATAATTCAAAAAGACATGTCTAACTTGATTGCCTTTGAGTTGCTGTGGGTTTTCTGGGCTGTATGACCATATTTCAGTAGCATTATCTTCTTACGTTTTGCCCATATCTATGACAGGAATCCTCAAAGGTTGTGAGGGTGCGTGCCATGGATGTGGATTGAAACATCAGGAGAGAATGCTTCTGGAACATGGCCATACAGCCCGGAAAACTCACAGCAACCCATGAAAGCCTTTGACAACACATTGATTGCCTTTATTTTCAATCAATGTAAGGGGGTGTCATTTTTATTTGTGCACATTTCCTATACCATCCAAAGCAAAATGAAGATGCTGAAATTATTTATTTGGGTTGTTATAGGTTTTTTCGGGCTATATGGACCATGTTCTAGAGGCATTCTCTCCTGACGTTTCGCCTGCATCTATGGCAAGCATCCTCAGAGGTAGTGAGGTCTGTTGGAACTAGGAAAAAGGGGTTTATATATCTGTGGAATGACCAGGGTGGGACAAAGGACTCTTGTCTGTTGAGCTAGGTGTGAATGTTTCAACTGACCACCTTGATTAGCATTTGATTGCCTGGCAGTGCCTTTTTCCTAGTTCCCTTTTTCCCTTTTCCTAATCCCTTTTTCCTAGTTCCAACAGACCTCACTACCTCTGAGGATGCTTGCCATAGATGCAGGTGAAACGTAAGGAGAAAATGCCTCTAGAAAATGGCCATATAGCCCGAAAAAACCCACCCAGGCACTGCCAGGCATCAAATGCTAATCAAGGTGGTCAGTTGAAACATTCACACCTAGCTCCAGCAGACAAGAGTCCTTTGTCCCACCCTGGTCATTCCACAGATATATAAACCTTTTTTCCTAGTTCCAACAGACCTCACTACCTCTGAGGATGCTTGCCATAGATGCAGGTGAAATGTCAGGAGAAAATGCCTCTAGAACATGGCCATATAGCCCGGGGAGAAAAAAGCCTACAATAACCCAGTGATTCTAGCCATGAAAGCCTTTGACAATACAATTATTTATTTATTTCCTATATTTATACCCTGCCCTTCTCCCCCCGAAATCAAAACACTGTATCTTTATTTTTCTTATTTTTGTTTTCTGCTATCTCTGCCCATGAATGGAGTTAGTATGATGCGTTCTATGCCTTTGGGTTGGCCCAATAAAGGTATTGCCACAAGACGGCTTTTTGGAGCTTGCTGAGATTTTTATGGCCAGCACAGCTGCCCTACAACAGCTCTCAGCAAAGGCACAGATTGGGGGCCAGCCGCTTCCAACCCAAACTGCTTCTCAATGCTAATTCAGTCAGCACTCTTCCGTACATACAATTCCTGCTTTCAATCCACATGAATTTATTGGGCATTTTCCCTGGAGAGGTATTGCTCCATCAAGCCTATTGCAAGATTTGTTCAAGCCCAAGGGTAGGCAACCATATATAAACCTTGGCTGGAATCCATGTAGCCCTCAGCTGAATTTCATGCAGTTCTCTGCAAGGGATCAGTTCAGATCCCTGGCAAGAAGAATTGGTCCTGACTCCATCCGTTTACGAAGTGTGGAGGGAGGGAAAGATGTTGCTACACATTGCTTCATATGGTGATTGAAAACCTCAGTGAGGTTTGGCAAGATGCTCTGGGTTTTAATTTAAATTCTAATGCAGCTATCCATACTGGAGTCATATCACCAAAAACATGAGCTGAACCAACCCCCCCCCCCCCCAATAGAGGTTGCCTCTACACTGCAGATTTAATACAGTTTGATGCCATTTTAACAACCATGGTTGAATGCTATGAAAATCCTGGGATATATAGTTTGGGGAAGAACCTACACTCATTGGCAAAGAAAGCTAAATATGTTGGGAAAGTGCCAACACCCATAATTCCACAACACTGAGCCATGGAAGTTAAACTGTGTTAGTTCTACAGTGTAGATGCACCCACCATAGAATCATAGAATCAAAGAGTTGGAAGAGACCTCATGGGCCATCCAGTCCAACCCCCTGCCAAGAAGCAGGAATACTGCATTCAAATCACCCCCGACAGATGGCCATCCAGCCTCTGTTTAAAAGCTTCCAAAGAAGGACCCTCCACCACACTCCAGGGCAGAGAGTTCCACTGCTGAATGGCTCTCACAGTCAGGAAGTTCTTCCTCATGTTCAAATGGAATCGATTCTTGTAGTTTGTTCCGCGTCCTAGTCTCCAGGGAAGCAGAAAACAAGCTTGCTCCCTCCTCCCTGAATACTTCCATTTGTTCCCCCCCCCCCTCCATCCAGCTATCCCTTTATTTATAGCTCACCTTTCTCCCATAGGGAGGTGCAAGACAATTTTTAAAGTTCAGACAGCAACCAAGAGCAGATTCACTACTTCATTTACCACGGAAGCCACTAACAGCCATTGCAGTGTCCTAACAGAATCACAGAGTTGAAAGATACCTCGTGGGCCATCCAGTCCAATCCCCTGCTAAGAAACAGAAAAATTGCATTCAAAGCACCACCGACAGATGGCCATACAGCCTCTGGTTAAAAGCCTCCAAAGAAGGAGCCTCCACCACACTCTGCAGCAGAGAGTTCCACTGCTGAACAATTCTCACATTCAGGAAACTCTTCCTAAAGTTCAGATGGAATCTCCTTTCTTGTAGTTTGAAGCCATTGTTCTGCGTCCTAGTCTTCAGGGCAGTAGAAAACAAGCTTACTCCCGCCTCCTTATGACTTCCACTTATTTATACATGGCTATCATGTATCCGCTCAGCCTTCTCTTCTTCAGGCTAAACATGCCCAGCTCTTTAAACCGCTCCTCATACGGCTTGTTCTCCAGGCCCTTGATCATTTTAATTGTCCTTCTCTAGACACATTCCAGCTTGTCAATATCACCCTTCAGTTGTGGTGCCCAGAATTGGACACAGCATTCAAGACGTGGTCTAACCAAGGCAGAATAGAGGGGTAGCATTACTTCCCTAGATCTAGACCAGGGGTAGGGAACCTTTGGCCCTCCAGCTGTGGTGGACTTCAACTCCCACAATTCCTTGAGGCTCGGCATTCGCCCCAAAGGCTTACCTTGGCCCAATGCCGAGCCTCAAGGAATTGTGGGAGTTGAAGTCCACCACAGCTGGAGGGCCAAAGGTTCCCTACCCCTGATCTAGACACTATGTGGCTCTAAAGAGCTAAAAAAATATACTCTTTCCACACTTGACTGGCATTTCTTCCTAGACAGCTCCCAAGTGGGAAACACATTTCCTGATTGCTTTGCCTTCCTCCACAAGCCTGTTATAGTTCCCAATATCATTCATGTGCAAAGCTGCTAAGAGCGAATAAATCCTCCTAAAAAGAAACCTCCCTGCACACAAATGCAAGCTTCTGACATCATTTGGTACTCCCTGTTGAGCATTGCCTACAAGGCAGCTGAGCTCTTTCAAGATCAAAGGCAAAGCCAGTATCTCAGCACATATATGTGGATACAGTTTGGTGCATGTTTCAAACACGCCAGTGTCTCAAAGCGCCGGCTGTAAGTGTCTGGATACATGCTCTTCCAAGGAATAGAGCAGTTCAGTCGCTATTTCTTCCAGATGCTCCCAACCACCCACGCAAACCACCGCAGAACCACTCCATCGATTCCTCAAGTTGGGCAGGGAGGAGGGAGATGATAAAGACATAACTTGGGCTGAAATGTGTTTTATTAAGTAAGCAAGGGAGGATGCAGGCTGGGGAGTGGGAGCACAGCACAGCGCAAGAAGCAGCAGTCGCTTAATGAACACAGTTACTTCAAAGCCACTCAGAGGATCTGGATGGTAGATGTTCACTTCCTGCTAATTGAGAACGGGTGTCCAAGCCTGTTGGGGCCGAGGGGGGAAAAACAACCAGCCTTTCAACATCTTACAAACTCTAAAAGCTAAAATGCAGTACAGTATGTACTGCACCGAGAAGCCGAGCTTTCCATACTTATAGGATTTCAGCATTATTCTCTCTGTTCTTACATTAATCTCACTAAAATGAATGGGTCTGTGCCAAAGCTGCACAGGGCGGAGTTGTATTAACACTGGCAAAGTAGCATTTGCAACCAACAAGGGGAAAAACAAAGCTAGGCCATTACCTGCAAGGAGCTTACTCAGTCTGAAATCAACTGTTGAGAAGACGGGTAATAATAATAATAATACTTTATTTATATTCCGCCCTATCTCCCCAAGGGGACTCAGGGCAGATCACAGTACACACACACAGCAAACATTCAATGCTGTTTTGGACAGACAAGACGGAACAGAAAGAAGGTATGTTGTGTTGACATCCAGCTTTTAGGCGCCTTGGAGGTTGTGCTCGAATCCAGCCACAGGGGGGTGCTGCCGCTACATCCTCTATGATGAAGAGCCATCAAGACTTCCTCCTTCCTTTTGGTCACCGGGAATTTTCTGATCTTTTTTCCTTATGGTGTTGTAAAATATCTCTCCCCCCCCCCCCCCCCCCCGTTTAGTGGTACCTAATTTCTCTATTTACAGGTCAAGCTGTTTTCAAACTGCTTAGGTAAACAGTGAGCTGGGCTGACAGTCAGGCACTCATGCTGACCAGGACTTCAAACTGGAAACCTTTCAATTGGTAGATCTTATCATTGCTGGTGATTTATCTGCTGTGCTAAAGCACGGTAAAGAAAAATGGATAAGCCAAGAACAATGTGCGCAAGATGTAGCACAAGACAAACTGTTCCACTTGGGGTACAGGACAAAGGGTTTAAATAAGCTGGGGAAAGTGGTTTGTAAGGAAAACTATGAACTGGGAGACACTGGAAAGAAATTACCTGAATCAGAGGTGGTGATTCTGGGATATTCTGGACACCGTTGGACTACATTTCCCATCATTCCTCATAACTAGCCATGCAGGCAAGGTTTTCGGGAAGCTGCCATCCAACATCACCCTAAATAACAGAAGAAAAGTATTAGTGTTGTTGTTCAACACACTCTTTATTTAAATGTTTTAATGTTAAAATGGGATTAAACTATTAACATTTCAAACCAACTTACATTTTAAAAACTTACACAGTTGAAATGATAAAAAAGTAATTGAAAATGTAATTTTAACAGGGAAAATAGCACAGCATCCTCTTAAAATTCAATTTCTTTAGAAACCTTTGATTATAAAAAGCCAGTTGGAATAAACGTCTGCCTGCCAACAGCAGGACTAGAAGGTCCTCTATTGTTCCTAGGAAGGGAGTTCATTCCACACTGTCCAATATCCCATGATCTGATCCCAGGTTATTCGTTTATCTCAGTTTATCTGGCAGTGGAGACTCATATAATCCAGTTTAAGATAGTTAATCTGGGATTAGATTCTGGAATATAGGATTGTGTGGAAGGGACCTGGGAGCCGCCAAGAAAGTCCTATTGCATGTTTCCATCAACTGTGCCTGTGAAGGTGGTTAAACTGAGAGAATAGCTTCTCCTAAGAATCCTATGATAAGATCATATATTGATCATATATTGGTATGATAAGAAACAAAGATGGCAGGGACCTAACAGAAGCTGAAGAGATCAAGAGAAGGTGGCGGGACTATACAGAAGATCTGTATAGGAAGGATAATAATATTGAGGATAGTTTTGACGGTGTGGTGAATGAATTAGAACCAGACATCCTGAGGAGTGAGGTTGAATGGGCCTTAAGAAGCATTGCTAACAACAAGGCAGCAGGAGACGACGGGATCCCAGCTGAACTGTTTAAAATCTTAAAAGATGATGCTGTCAAGGTGATGCATGCCATATGCCAGCAAATATGGAAAACACAAGAATGGCCATCAGACTGGAAAAAATCAACTTATATCCCCATACCAAAAAAGGGAAATGCGAAAGACTGCTCAAACTTCCGTACAGTGGCCCTTATTTCTCATGCCAGTAAGGTAATGCTCAAGATCCTGCAAGGAAGACTCCAGCAATACATGGAGTGAGAGTTGCCAGATGTTCAAGCTGGGTTTAGAAAAGGCAGAGGAACGAGAGACCAGATTGCCAATATCCGCTGGATAATGGAGAAAGGCAGGGAGTTTCAGAAAAACATCTACTTCGGCTTCATTGACTATTCTAAAGCCTTTGACTGTGTGGATCATAATAAATTGTGGCAAGTTCTTAGTGGGATGGGCATCCCAAGCCACCTTGTCTCTCTCCTGAGGAATCTGTACAAGGACCAAGTAGCAACAGTAAGAACTGACCACGGAACAACAGAGTGGTTCAAGATTGGGAAAGGCGTACGGCAAGGCTGCATCCTCTCACCCAACCTTTTTAACTTGTATGCAGAACACATCATGCGATGTGCGGGGCTTGATGAATGCAAAGCTGGGGTGAAAATTGCTGGAAGAAACATTAACAACCTCAGATATGCAGATGACACCACTCTGATGGCCAAAAGCGAGGAGGAGCTGAGGAGCCTTCTAATCAAGGTGAAAGAAGAAAGCGCAAAAGCTGGGTTGCAGCTAAACGTCAAAAAAAACCAAGATTATGCAACAAGAATGATTGACAACTGGAAAATAGAGGGAGAAAATGTGGAGGCCGTGACAGACTTTGTATTTCTAGGTGCAAAGATTACTGCAGATGCAGACTGTGGCCAGGAAATCAGAAGACGCTTACTTCTTGGGAGGAGAGCAATGTCCAGTCTCGATAAAATAGTAAAGAGTAGAGACATCAGACTGGCAACAAAGATCCGCCTAGTCAAAGCCATGGTATTCCCTGTAGTCACCTACGGATGTCAGAGCTGGACCTTAGGGAAGGCTGAGCGAAGGAAGATCGATGCTTTTGAGCTGTGGTGTTGGAGGAAAGTGCTGAGAGTGCCTTGGACTGCGAGAAGATCCAACCAGTCCATCCTCCAGGAAATAAAGCCCGACTGCTCACTGGAGGGAAAGATAATAGAGACAAAGTTGAAGTACTTTGGCCACATCATGAGGAGACAGGAAAGCCTAGAGAAAACAATTATGCTGGGGAAAGTGGAAGGCAAAAGGAAGAGGGGCCGACCAAGGGCAAGATGGATGGATGGCATCCTTGAAGTGACTGGACTGACCTTGAGGGAGCTGGGGGTGTTAACGGCCGACAGGGAGCTCTGGCGTGGGCTGGTCCATGAGGTCACGAAGAGTCGGAGACGACTGAACGAATGAACAACAACAAGAATCCTAGGGCCCTAAAAGGATGATCCCATATGAGTCCATCAGGTTCCCTTAGCCTAAATGTAGAAGTCATTATACATCATAATCAGGACTCTGAATTGTGCCAAGAAACAGACCAGGAGCCAGATGAGTTGTGATAGCAAGAGAGTTGGATTCTCCCTGCATTCTCTCCAATGATCCCAGTTTGGCCTGGCCAGTCCCAATTAGCTATCTGTTACGCCACCTTCCCAGCTACTTCGTCCCCTTTTCAGATTGAGTCCACTCTGATGTTGCTTGGCTACATATGTCCCTGTTTTCATCTGTGAAAATCGCCAGAGTTAAGATCTAGTTGCAACTCTTTGTACCAAACAAAAGCAGACCCACATTGAGTGTCTTGCTGTGGTGCATCTTGAAGTCTTTCTTGAGTTCCAGTGAACTCAAGGTGAACCTATCACAGGGTTTTCTTGGCAAGATTTGTTCAGAGGTGGCTTGCCATTGACTTCCTTTGAGGCTGAAAGAGCCAAGAATGCCTATTACGTTTCCATGACCAAGCGGGGATTCAAACCCTGGTCTCCCAGAATCCCAGTCCAATACTCAAATCACTACACTATTAATATAAATGGTATATAAATAAGGAATTTTTTACTATGAAATGTCTCCAGAAATGGGTGCACTAGCATGTGTAAAAGTACTCCTGGCCACTACAGAAACTTAGCTTCCAGTTTCAAGGCTGCATCCATATATGCAAACCTATATGTAACCTCTTTCAAACACAGGTCACGCCAGATAAGAAGGCATTTGGATGTAGTGTGGATTGAGCAAAGGTACTTAAAGAGTATTGCAACTGTTAATATTATACTGTTCATGCAAATCTGCTTGAACTTTAAGATCAACTTCCCATTTATCAGCCACACAGACTGGAAATTCAGTTGACTAGTAACTAGCACAGAACCTTCTTAACAGCAGCAATGTAAGTATGGATTTCCCTGCCACAGGGAACCTAACTAAAGTTCCTTCTCTTCCAGTTTTGAACATTTTTACAGAAAATATGGCTCTTACTGTGTGCCTTTAAGTAATTTCCTACCTATGGTGACCCTATCATGGGATTTCTTGACACAATTTGTTCAGAAGAAGCTTGCCATTGCCTTTTTTCTTAAGCAGAGAGAGTGTGACTTTCCCAAAGTCACTCAGTGGGTTTCCTGGCTCAGCACAGATTCAAACCCTGGAATACAGATTTCATAATCCAGTGCTCAAACCATTACACCAGGCAGGTTCCTGCAAGAAATGGTAACCTGAAATGTATTGATGTAAAACCGTGTTTCGCGACCTGCAGATCACAAGGGGGTTTCAAAGGGGTTGGCAAAGACCATCAGAAAACACAGTAATTTCTGTTGGTCATGGGGGTTCTGTGTGGGAAATTTGTCCAAAGTCTATCCTTCGTGAGGTTCATAATACTCTTTGATTGTAAGTGAACTACAAATCCCAGCAACTACAACTCCCAAATGTCAAGGTCTATTTTCTCCAAATTGCACCAGTGTTCACATTTGGGCATATTGAGTATTTGTGCCAAGTTTGGTCGAGATCCATCATTGTTTGAGTCCACAGTGGTCTCTAGATGTGGGTGAACTACAACTCCAAAACTCAAAATCAATGCCCACCAAACCCTTCCAGCATTTTCTGTTGGTCACGGGAGTTCTGTGTCAAGTTTGGTTCAATTCCATTGTTGGTGGATTTCGGAATGTTCTTTGATTGTAGGTTAACTGTAAATCCCAGCAACTACAACTCTCAAATGACAAAATCAATCCCCTTTGGAAGCTTTTAAACAGAGGCTGGTTGGCCATCTGTTGGGGGTGGTTTGAATGCATTTTTCCTGCTTCTTGGCAGGGGGTTGGACTGGATGGCCCATAAGGTCTCTTCCAACTTTATAATTCTATGGCTCTATTCCCAAACCCCACAAGTATTTAAATGTGGGCATATCGGATATTTGTGCCAAATTTGGTCCAATGAATAAAAATACATCCTGTATATCAGATATTTACATTACAATACATAACAGTAGCAAAATTACAGTTATGAAGTACAACAAAAATAATTTTATTGCTGGGGGGTCAACAAAACATGAAGAACTGTATTAAGTGGTCGCGGCATTAGGAAGGTTGAGAACCACTGATATAAAAGAAGACTCAGCTATTTCCATGCTGCCTTGACTGCTGCTCTGTTTGATTGTTCATAGGTTTAAATTGATTTCCATTTATTCACATAACCCCAGCTTTGTATGCATTAGTGGAAAACAAAGTACAAAGGAGTAAAATTTTGAAAAAATTAGATAAGATCACGCAACACTTCAGAGAGATTTCAAAGGAAAAGAGGCTGCGATCACCCAGCAAAGACATCTGAGGAGGTTTCTCATTACTTTGGAGCTATAAAAGAGGTGAATGATAGGCCAAGTCCTCCTTCCTCTAGCAAGGAAGGAGGACCATGATCAGAGATACCAGAAGAGAGGATCCTTTCACCATACACAGTTATAGCACTAAGCTTCCAGTTTACGTCCCATGGTTCCATCCTATAGAATCCTCTAATTTGCAGTTTGTTGTTGCTGTGTGCCTTCAAGTTGTTTCTGACTTATGGTGAATCTAAAATGAGCCTATCACGAGGTTTACTGGGGTTGAGAAAGTCACCCAATGGGTTTTCATGGCCAAGTTGGGAACCGAACTCTGTTCTCCGGAGTTATGGCCCAATATTCAAACCACGATTACACCATGCTGGCTCCAATTTACAATTTAGGGAGGGATATT